ACTACCCTTCTGATCTCTATGACTATATAGAGAGAGCAGAGGAGGCCCGCCAATCAGCAAGGTACCGAATATTTCACCAACAACGAATCGATGCCGTCCGCTACAACCGAGGAAGACGTGAAACACGGTATGCAGTTGGTAACAAAGTGTGAATATGGACCCCAGTACGACGACGAGGCCTGTCTGAAAAACTTATTTGTCGATATTTCGGTCCTTACGAGGTAGTACAGCGACTCAGCGACCTCGTTTACGAAGTCAAGCTTACAGGACATGGGCATTTCAAACAACGCAATCCCACCGAGCGTGTACACATTGTGTGCATGAAACCCTACTACGACCGGTACGAAGACTAGCCACGCCACTTGCTTGCTGCACAACCATTTCCCTTTTACAAACCTTCCGAGACGGAAACGCTGCATAAATTATCATCGAAAGCATCGCGGCGATGCCTCTTGAGAGGGGGGATAATGCCACAGGAAATTACTATTGCTCCGCGCAACGCGGACGTTGGGAACCAGAGAAACGCTAACGACACGACTATGAGCGGCGAAGCCAGCCGCAATACACGAGCCGGCCCTGCATGCGCCCGGGACTCCGCCGAGCAGCCAACGCGCGTGAAGAAGAAGAGAACGAAAGGTGCTCGAGGCAGAGGCTCACGAGGACTACCGCCCTTGGATCTTCTTGATTGCTGTACGTCGTTCACTTTAGGCACAAGTTCGCCCTTAATAAACCGTGTAAATAGAACTTCGTTGTTTTGTGGCTGCTACATTCGTTAAAAATATATCCTATGTCTGAATTGGATCTGCGCTCGTTGCTACGTCTAATTCTGCCCCGGACTCCACCTATCTTAGATACTGGTGCCACTTTGGAATCGTATCTGTCGATACCACCTGTCAAAAAGTCTCCCCGGTTGTTTTCCTCCTTACTAGCTATCCTGCACCCCGAAGGGCCTGCTTTCCCCCCAAAAACGTTACTGTGCATCCTGCAAGTCGCCAACCCACCTCGTAACCTAGCCTCCCATCGAAGTGAATTCTGTCTCGTTGAAAACCACCCCACCTATGCATTTCTCTGTTTATTTCCACCACATCAAAGCCTTTTTTCTTGACTCATCCGCCATATCTCTTTGATTGTGTTGACAACCGCTCTTTGCAGGTTGCTATCACGCACCGGTACCTCCGGTATCGTGCATATCACTACCTGTACCTGAGGAGAAGTGGCGTGCATGTCATCGACGTCTTTCGCCAGTGGTTGCTAGTCCTGCTGTATCTTCATTTAAGACATCGTTTAAACTACCTGAAATTATTACAAGGTTTCGTCTATCAGCTATAGTTTTGAGTTTTGCGCTCGCTTGCCTCATGTCTGCTTCCAGCTTGCGTCCTGGGAACGTTCCTACTGCAACCCTCTTGTCACCTCTCACCCTCTCTTTGATGGCTTCTGTGCATCGATTTAAATTCGAGTCCCCAGCGATTATCACATGATGTGACTTTTCAGCTGGAGCGTCCTGCACCTGGGGGTTACTTGCACCGGTGACGCCAGCTGCTTTGTCCTCTCCCAGCCCCACCACTACTTCGCTGAAGTTGGGTCTTGCGGCAATTGAACCAGCTGAACCTGCTTTTTCCGAACTAGCTTGCTCTTTCTTCTCCGCCGTTCTGGTTGCCGGTTTCCTACTGTTCTCTCCGTAGGCCGCTCTCTTGGCTTGTGCTTCCTCGGCGGACTTCAGCCTTTCTCCCTTAGCCCTCGTTTTGTCTTGCTGTGTCGCCAACGCAATCTCGTGTTCGGTGAGTCTCATCAGCAGGCCACTCTGGGCAACCACTATTTTCTCCATTTTTTCCTCGACCTCCCATTGCCTTCACTTCGCGTCAGCCTCTTCTCCTTCCGCTTCTACAAATGGGTCCACTTTCAAAGCTACCCCACATCCTTAACACTTTACAGTCTTTTTAACCATGTCTTTCCGAAACCGATTGTCCCTATGACTTTTCTCACTCAATAATTACAAAACTAGAGTGCTGCCCTACAGAAAAGAGAAAGTCTAAGCTCCCCAGCAAAAATTTGCGTGTTCAATGCACGCGCACCTCCCCCTCGGGGTGGCAAAGAAAAAGAACAACAAAAAAATAGAAACACACACTTACAAACTAATACCTGGTGACTGACCCCCAAAAAAGCCGTACAATAAAATAAGTGCCACAGGAATTTTAACTGCTCTTTATAATTATAAAGACAAGCTCAAAACATGCAAAACAACTTATCTGCGCAGTCTATTGGAAGCTCTCAAAAAACACGTCCATCCACCGTCACAGTCCGAACCGAGCAGTGGCACTGTCCCAGTGTCAGCACCACATGGACACTGGTACAGTAATCAGGTATGGCGCTGGGCCAGTGCCACTGGTTTTTGCAATAGGGTTGCGTTTCCTATTCACAAAAGTTATATATTAGACGAATGCAGAACATCGTTTCGCGCACTGCTGGTATCAAAATAACTTGCAGCAAACTGCACATCTTACACTTGAATTTCACAACTTTAAAGAAGTTTTGTACAATTTTGTGCGTATTTTTCATCAATATAGTGTATTTATGTGTGATGACTTGGAAATACAAAGGACTCAAACAATCTTCTGAAGGAATTTTTAAAACAATGCGAGCTTGATCACTCAAAATTACTTGCAGTCAGAGAATACATGTGTTGTGTCTTGGCGTCTTAGCTTTAGATCCATACCTGTGAAAGAAAGCGAATATTTTCATTTAGTGCGTTGATTTTGAAATTTCTCACAGATTAACCACTAAAAATAAATATATCAATATCTGTAGCATATTAACTTACCTAATATGAGTCGGTTTTATTTATACGATGTGTTATCTTGAATTTCGGTCTACTTGATGATATCTGTGTAATAGGATGGTATTTTAGGCACTATTGTAAACAGCATCTATGGTAATACAGCCTGAAATCATAAACAATCTAACAAACTTGCAAGTAATATTACTTATAGCGACAACGCTAATGGCCGTTCTACTCAATACAACAATGGGCGTCGAAAAACTGCCCTCAAAAATTTTAACATTACTGTACGCTGCATGTTTCAAAGAAGGTTGAACCACAGGAAACCTAACGTACATTGAGAAACAAATTCATTTGCTAGCAGATGAACTTGGCAAAGATTCATGGTATTTGCTTTTCTATAATGTTACAAATATAAGGAACAAATTACGTGGTATTGTAACACATACGGAGAAGTTGCACTTGATTAGCTTTTGCTGCAGTGCCACAGGAAGTTGTCATAAGGTGAAGTGCTGTGCTCTATACTGAGTGAGTAATCAACGGAAGCTGTCAGCAAGAATTTTCCATTCTTCCTTTTTGTTCAAATGTATTAGCATCAGTGTTATGAGCCAAATACATTAGAAAATACCTTACGTCACCATCAAAAGTATACTTTACTTTACGCTGCAGAAATGTTTAGTGTTTCTAACGCCTAAAAATGGTACAGTTTAAGAAAAAAGTACAGATTACGTTTCACTGTAATACACGCAGTTGTGTAGTGGCACTGAAGTTGGTAGTTACTTTGAAAGTTCGTCTGACAAAATTTTCAGAGAATAAGCAGTAAGGAAGAGAGAAAGCAGGCAGAGAAACCTTTCCAGTAATTTAATGGAAGGTACATTGACGCACAGCCAAGAAAATGAACTAGGTGACTCGTCAGCAAGTATACAGCTGGCTGTATATGCACTATGGAGATAGAAAGCGTTAAGCCAAATTTAGGAGAAGTAGAAAAGGCGTGTTGGATTACAATTATGGAAAGAAAGAAAGGTCTAGGTAACCACCGAAAGAGTACACAAAATGAGCAAGAGTGCACGTTACAGTTAGTTAAAAGAATCTCTGCTGTTTATTATGAGGTTAGGTTACATTAGTACACAAGTTATAAATCGAGATTGAGTGAAGCCATTCACCTGGTTGCGCATAAGGGCATTAGCCTGCTTGAACGTTCGGGTTTCAGACACATTACTAAAGAAATAAGCATGATAGGCAATAAAAAACGCCACGCCTGCGAGAAAGGTGAAGCACAGTCACAGCGAAAGCTAGAAGAGCGGCCTTTCAAAGCCTTTTCTAAACAGTCATTGGGCAACTGCTTCAAGTACACTTGCTTGATTCCCACTACAGCATCAATATTAAAAGCTTTAGGGTAGTAGGCCGGCATTTGCTATGCTATTTTTCGTCATTTTTCGGAGAAGCGTGTTATCTGCTAAACTGTTGCGAAAAATTTTGTGCCAATTGGTAAAGCAGTCTCTGGCGACAATGAGGAATCATGCCTGGATTAGGTATGTGCCACTGTTTACAGCTGCACAAAAAGCTTTTATAATAGGATGGAGCATTAGACGACCCAACGTTTCGCTATTCGCATTGTGTGACGACTGCTTGTCTTTCGCTGTTTTAAAACGCTTTATAAGTCATGTTAACGTGATTGCTTTCCCGACACTGAGCGTGCCTAAGGCAAGTTTGCCGAGAAATTCCAAGCGCCGGCGTGGCTCACTTGTAGAATATAGGGCTGGCACGGAGTGGACCCACGTTCGAACTCCACTTTTTCATATCATTTCACAATGCAAAAAAACCCTAATCTGGTGATCTTCTTGTCGAAGTAAGCCAGAAACAGCCACAAACACTCTTCTGAAACAGAAGCAGTTTGCTCTCCTAGACGTGTACATCACCCCCCACCGCAGTCTGAACACTGTTTATGCGAGAAACTGAAGTTGACCCCCTTGAAGGCTTTCAAGTGCAAGATGTAGTCGCTATCCGTCAGATCAACATAAGGCGAAACAATGAAGTGGTAACGCTCCATAGAGTACAAGCATTCATTCACTCCATCCTTCCCGAATCTGTGAAAGCTGTGTTCCTCCACCGTGAAGTCCGCCCCTACATACCCAACCCTAGAAGGTGCTACAAATGCCAGAAATACGGACATGGGTCACCACCTGTCGCGGAAAACAAACAAGTGCAAAATGTGGTGATCATGAGCACCCAAACAAGAGCGGTACTTCCAAGCAAACAGAGTGCCCTAACTGTCATGGTTAGCATGCAGCGTACTGGCGGACATGTTAGTTTTCAAAAAGGAAAACTAAATTAAAGTAACGAAAAACATAGCTTACTTCGAAGCCGGGAGGGAGGTCTCCCTCTTCTCCAGAAGATCGTACATTGACGCAGTGTGCCGTAGCCTGGCGGTTGTCTAGCAGCGGTGGGCACGAAGTACAGCTTCGCTGATGCGTGCACATCTCGGTTCCCCACCAAGCAGTGGCAGGCAGCACCAACGTTCGAAGCCCCACAGGTCAACCTCCCTCAGACCTCAGAGACAACACAGACAATTCAAATCCCGCCGGTGAACCTCCATCAGACCTCGGCAACGACACAGACATCTGAAAGGGCACCTGTCTCTCTTGAGAAACCCTCATCAGCCTCCGAGTGTTCATAGGGGCAATGGATGTGACACCAGTGTCCACAGTGTCTCCGATGCTCACGGAATCGCTCCTAGACAAATGGAGCCCAATAGAACGCCTCAGAGGGAAGAAACACTCTCCAGTCCAGGCGGCTGACAAATGTGGCGAAGTCTGAATAACCCTCCTTTCCTTTCTTCATTCTTAAAAATGGCTGCCTAGACTATCATCTACTGGAACTGCCGAGGTCTATCGAAGAACCTGAACGACATTTATGAAATTCTTGCGGAACACCAATCTAACATACTTTGCCTGCAAGAGACACACCTAAACTCAACGCACACTAGCCTTCTAAGAATATATGTGGTATACCGAAAGGACAGACATGGCACTGCCCCTTCATCCAGCGGTGCGCTATCCGGGTGCAGAAAGCACTCCTGTTCCGAAGCCTCACTCTGGTTACTTACTTAGAGGTAGTGACGATATATCTTTGGAAGAATGGCAACTGCGTGCTCATTATATATCCCTCCGGACTACCACATGTCTACTAAAGAGTTTGAAACACTCATTGACCAGCTCCCGCGTTTATTCCTCCTGGTTGGAGATTTTTATGTACACAACCTCCTGTGGGATTGCAGAGGAACAGATTCTCGAGGCTCTCTAAGAAAAAAAATTCCTTTTGTACTCTGGCTCCTGTATATTTACCAAAAAAGAACCAGCATACTTTGACGTGATGCGCATCCTATGCACTGCTATTGATCTTGCTATCGGCTCTCCTTCAATCATGGCGACCACAGAGTGAGCTGTTATTATTAACCTCTATGGTAGTGATAATTTTCCTGTCTGTCTAAAACACACAGGAAGTACAAGTAAGACGACTAAAATTGTATTCAAGTTTAAAGAACGGGATGCTGACTGGATGAAATTCCGAGAACTTACATAAATGTAGCGTTCCTCAATTGAATACCAAGACATTAATGACTGTGAAGCATGGGTCGCACTTCATAACATAGAAACCGCAGAGCAATCAATCCCACACACATCTGACAAGACGTGAAACAAACGAAGGCCCTGGTGCAATTCGGAGTGCAAAAAAGCTCGTAAGAACCAAAACAAAGCTTTGTCGAAATTTCGCACGTACCATACAGCTGACCACTTGATCAATTTGAAGCGTGCAAAACAAATGGTAGGCGTATCCGACGAGGACCGAAGCGGCAGAGCTGGCAGTCTTTTCTCTCGTCAGTTAACTCCTACACTGATACGCATACGGTGTACAACAGAGTAAGAGCACTCCAAGGGCACAACACTCATCGAGTCCCTCTCGTCAGTACTGCTGGTCATACGCTGGAACAACAGGCAGATGTCATAGCACAACAATTTGAATACATTATCAGCTCAGCACACTACACAGACTCCTTTAAACGACAAAATCTTGCTGAGGATCGTAAGTCAATCCGTGATAGAAGGCCATCTGCTGGAGGCTACAACACTTTGTTTACCATAGACGAATTGAAGGCAATTCTGGCAACATGTGGCAATTCAGCCGCATGCCCAGGCAAGATTACATTTGGAATGCTGAAACACTTACACGAACACACGCTTACTGCCATTCTCTTACTGTTCAACAACGTATGGTCCTCCGGGCGCCTACGCAAGGCCTAGAAAGAGGCAGTTATAATACCCATCCTTAAACAAAAAAAAGAAGCAACACTTGCTGCTTGTTTTACGCCTATCGCCCTGACAAGCTGCTTGTGCAAAGTAATTGAAAAAGTGGTAAACTGCCGCCTAATGTATTACCTTGAATATAATGGCCTGCTTGACCGTCGTCACTCTGGATTCAGGTCAGGATGGTTGACAACTGACCAACTGGCAGCATTCGAGTGCTATGTCGGAGATGCCTTCACTCACAAACAACACTGCCTCTCTGTATTTTTCGACTTGGAGAAGGCTTATGACACGACATGTAGTTGTGGCATAATCCGTGACTTGCAATCTTTTGGAGTGTCAGAGAACATGTTGAATTCAATTAAAAGTTACCTCTCTGAACGTTAGTTCGTGGTTCGTGTCAGAAATGCCCTTTAAAAGCGGTTTACGCCGGAAGATGCTGTAATCTAAGTTGGCGTTCTTAGTTGCACACTATTCATCGTAAAATGAACTCCATAAGCGGTATACTGCCTAAAAAAATCTCGTATTCTGTATATGTGGATGACATTCAGATCAGCTTCAAATAGTGCAACCTAGCCATCTGCGAACGTCAGATAAAGTTGGAAGGTAAATCAGCTCTGAAGCTAGGCAGAGAAAAATGGCTTTGAGTTTAGCTTTGACTTGACTGTTTGCCTATTCTTTTTAAAACTACGTAGAATAAGGCCATCCCCAAACATTTTGCATGACTGAACACTCCATTGCTGCTAAGAAGGATCAGAAATTTCTCGGTGTTGTAATAGATGAAAAGCTCAGCTTTGTCTCACATATCAAGCTGCTGCGATTAAAATGCTTCAAAGCCTTGAACTTGCTCAAGATTCTCTCGCATCAGTCAAGGCGTACAAATTGCGACTGTCTATTAAACCTTCTCAGCATTGTAGTGCTCTCACGTATTGATTATGGCTTGGTTGTATACAAATCAGCGTCGAGATCTGCACTTAAGATGCTCGAACCAGTGCATCACCATGGGCTTCGTCTGGCTAGTGGTGCTTTCCGAACCAGCCCAACCGTCAGCCTGTACGTTGAGACGGACTGGTGGTTATTAAAACGAAGACGGCAGTTCACAAGCATGAAGTATGCAACCAAGGTGCTTTCCCATGTCGACCACCCATCTCGCGAGCTATTGCAGGATACATCAAACACCCACCTGTTTTTGAGGCGACCATCAGCTACGTATCCCATCACAGTTGCCTCACACTTTGAAAATTTGCATATACCCGTCTCCAACATTTAACTATGCTCCCACAAGGACACTATTGCACCGTGGGAAATGCGGGCTATCAATTGTGACTTGTCATTCCTGGAGGTAGGAGAGCATGGCCTCCCAGTCACAATCAATCATCCTTTTATGTACTTGCAGGCAAAATACATTGTATGTTGAGTACTACACTGATGCTTCCAACTCCTCGGCCGTCGCAAATGCTGCATATGGTCGGGCGTACTCTGAATCTGCAACAATGAAGGAACATACTAGCATATTTACTGCTGAGTGTTATGGCATACTGCTAGCTATCAGGCACATCATAAAAAAGAAAGAACTAGCCTCCATCATATACACAGGTTCCCTCAATGCAGTGACTGCGTTGTCTTCCACAAACAGACATAAAAATCCAGTGACAATAACTCTTCTAAACTGCCTCATGTCAGCCTACAGATCCAAGCCTAAACTCATGCTATGCTGAATTTTAGGACACTGCAACATAGCTGGCATTGAAGCAGCGGCCCAACTTGCGAAGTCTGCTGCGCTCTGCCCAACGGTATACGTAGTCGTCATCCCGTATGAGGATTTGAGGCCGCTAACCAGAAACCGAATGTGTAGGCAATGGCAAGAGGAATCAAATGCAGCAATTGAAAACAAATTGCACAAATTAAAGCCAAGAATAGGAGGATATGCTCTTGAAAAACGTAACAGGCATCAAGAGGTTGCATTGTGCAGACTCAGGATTGGTCATGCACATGCAACACACTCGCACCTTTTGAGCAACTCTTCAGCGCTTCGTTGTGAGAAATTTGGTGATAAGCTCTATGTTGTTCACCTTTTAATTATGTACCCGTACCTTTCGTCAGAAAGACTTCCCAAATCTATACAAATTCCACGTACGGCCTCACCCTTTATTTTTTTGCTGACGATCCCACGTTTCCCACAAAAGTAGTTTTAAAATTCTTAGCTGATGTTGGCTTTCTACATTCTATTACATATTCTAACTAATATGAGCCCTCTCTCAATCCTAATAGAACCGCCGAGACTTCTTTGCGAAATGTCATGCAGCACGCACTTCTTGTTTTGACAAGGACCGCTACCGACACTGCTTCACTTAGTGAAACCCGTAGGTTTAGGCCGTTCAAAACTCATCACACATAGACATTACATTTAGGTTCAACCCCTATGCACACTCTTTTATTCTTGCCACCCTGAGTAGATTTTTTTCTATAATTGAACCGACCAAAACCCTTTGTTTGGCGCTTTTTGGCCCGAGTTGCCCTTGCGCCACTAAAATCTATCATCATCGTCATCATCAGTAATGCAATCAAGACTATCAACCTATTGCCCCAAAGTAGCTATTCTGATATTTCAGACAACAGTTGGCTGAATATATGCGACATTGAACATCACAATTACGATATTTCGCTGGGTTGGCAGCAGTGAGACTCTGCCCTGTTGCTTTGGATATGACCCATGATCACGCGATTGCAAACATCGAGACGCAAATTACAATTGCTTATCTTAAAGGTGCGTTTGTCGGTTACATGTAATGCCCACCTTTTGATTTTAGGCAGGTGAGTATTCATTTAGTGGAACATTGAAAAGTGCAAGCCAAGCCAAGCCACGCTGAGAGCTTGAGGGCATGTTTGAAAAGCACGAATAAAAGAACACAGACACTCTGTTGGAATTAGTTTGTTTTGTCAGATTCTGTGTCTAAGCCTGATCTGCACCTTACACTCTGTGTCTCGCTCTCATTTGCTGCTTAATATGCAAGGCCCGTTCATGAGCAGTAAAGGCAGTCTTTACTATTGAATAGATAACACGATTTTAAATATATAGAATGAAAGTTTAAAGGCACCCGGAAAATAGCCATGGCGCAACCTAAAAGTTTTTGTCGCCAAATGCGTAAATAAAAAAATTTTGCAATGTAGCTGCTAATGGCACCCATGGTCAACACCATAACTCTTTGAGAGCGTTGCAGTGAAGCTACTCCATCTTTATTGTGCTCCTTCAGGCTTCAACAAAGCAGCACCGCAAAATCTAAGAATATATGCATTTCGGTAACAAAAGATTTTATGCGTGTAACTTGAATGAAAAGTAAAGTTTTCCACTGCATGATAAAGGCGTGCTCTAACAAACAGGTCTCTTCAGAAAAACTCATTGAGGGAAGGGTTCCCACTTTCCTGCGAGTGTGACAACAGCTACAGTTTCTTTAAATATTCGGATTCGTAAAATGCGTACCAATATATGAGAAGAAGGTGCCTTTGGATGCCTCACCAGTGAATACTGAAATCGTTTTCACTGACTCGGTTCCCTGTGCTTCATTTTTCTATTCAATGGCACCTTTTCTGCATATAAAAATGGTTGAGGCCACATTACGTGGTACTGTGAAGAGCGTTAAGTGACTTCAGGAACCTATATATCTGAAGTAAAAATCATACACCTAGATCAATAAGCCAGCTCACCACTTCACGGAAAACATTCACATACATGACTCAGCATCTGAAAATACTTATGGGAATACTTGAAGCCTGCCGCACAACATTAGTATGCACAGACATAACGCCTGGTAGTGTCTACAATGCACAAAACCTTAAATTGAGTAACCACACACAGAGCTTTTAGAGGTCTTCTATTTATAATCACTTTACATGCTTTATAGTACATGCGCTAGAACTTCTTCAAATTCGAACAAAACAAATGGTGTGCTTATTTAAAGCATTTTAAAGCCACAAAAGAAAACAAAGAAATGTGCATGCCGATACCAATGATGATGGGGGAGGAACAGCTCTAACACTACATCAGTAAAAATTGCACCTTCTGTGAAGAATTGCAAAAAAATCACAAACAGAATTTTAGGTTGCCCCTAAATTTTGTTGCCTCCGTATTTTGAAGCTCTATTTCAGTATTCTCAGATGAAATTGTTCACAAACAGCCAGGTATTGCTGTAGTCGTTTACAAACACATTTAGAAATATTGTGATACTATTTACGCGTAAACACCTATATATCAATTTTACGTACCGATGAATTGTTCAAATCACACAAGATAATTGAAACAGTGCTAAAATGAAAGACAGAAAAAATCAGTGCGTCTAAGTTCGTGTCAGCTCTTTTGAGGCTCATTTTGGTGAGTATGTGTCCGAGTGAGCAAATGTATATGCTTTGTGAGTCAAGGTGAGTTCCAATTTTTTTGGAAGCTGTGGAGGTAGCAAGTCAAGACTACGCTCTCTTGTAATGCGGATGAAAGTAAAGACACGTGTTATTCATATTTTGCATGTTTTATCAGCCGGTAAATCAACTTAGTAAATTACTGAAACTAGTGCAGTTGAATATCAAATGAGATTGCTTAAACATGTGTCAGGCATTTTAATGATTTGGTGAGGAGTTGTCGAGTTAGAAATATAACTGAAACTAATTAACAAAACGTCGTTAACCAAAAATAATGTCTTTACTGCAGTGTATTTGGAACAACAAGTACTAGGTTTGCTCCATCTAACGATGTTCCTCTTTTTTCAAATCTTGCTGCAAGATGTGTGGTACACCACATACGTACATATTATAAAAACAATTGCGAAATTCACTCTTAAAGTTCACAGTTATGCCCAAACAGTTAAAAAAGTATGAACACATAAAAAGTTTTGCTGCACAATCCATAAAGACAAAATCACAGCTATATAACATGCGAAAGGTAAGCAGGCGTGCATTGCCAGCAGAAAATTGGGCATTCTCATCTATTTTTTATAAGAAAACTGCCTGTTCGCCTGGTTGATCTGACTGCGTGAAGGTATATTTGCAGCTCGAAAGGTCGTACAGAGAGGACAACACGGCGGCCCTTTCCAATATTTTTTCTCACGATAGGATTACATATGTTTAAAACCAAAGCATGCGGCTAAAAACTACAAACCTGTCTGATAGGGCGACAAGCAATCAAGAGACTTATGTCTGAAGAGTGTAGTTGTAACGCTTTTTCTTCAAATCATGCTTTACCCAACTACTGAAGAGGAAATACTTCCAAAACATTCACAAATCGTCATCCTTGCTTCCCCCTGAGTGCGTCATTTAAGCGGCAAATGTGACCTGTAACTCTGATCTATCACCGTAGAATGCGCGCACGCAAGAAACTATAGTTGTAGGAACATACGCCACGGAGCAAGAGACCCAAACACGCGCGAGAGCAAGTGACAAAACACATCGACATGCCATTATACGAGCATGAACGAGCAGCCGCATGACAGGCACACCAACAAACTCAAGCCGCATGCAAATACTGTCGAAGTACCAACGCGCACAAGGATAAGTGCGCCTATGTAACCACACACAAAGGAGAACCGAGGCTGAGAAATGTATGTGGTTCAGTACTCACGGATTGAAACAGGGCACTCTGAGTACGTGGCCGCCACTCCGCGCAGCACCGCTCTTGGGTGCTCTCACAGCTAAGTTGTTGCATTGTGGTATAGACTGATAGGGAGAACATCTGCAGAGTAGCATTTCTGCTTCCGGTCACCGACGATTTGGCGTGTAGTGTCCATGTCCACACTGTCAGCGTGGCACCCTAAGGCGGGCTTTTTCCGCATACCGACCGAACAGTATACCAGGTGCGCACCTTGCACTTACGCTGTGGCGCGAGCAGACGACTCGCTCGTTCTGCGCGGTTTAGTGATGCGGCTCGCATGCTGTGCAAGTAAAACACAGGATTAAGCTAAAGTATTGCGCCTTAGGTGCGTTGGTAGATGTGGTAAATATCTCTAAAAAACATACAAAATTTATTTAGAGCTTTTTGCCACGACAAAGAAAGAAAATAAGCAGTGGCAGGCCTGTCTTCATACAATCAAAATTATGTGTTAGTACTTTGTCATTTCGCCGCCAGCTCTCACTACCACAGCCTTTCTTCACGGCAAGCTTTCATAGAGGCTATCGGCCACAGATGGCCGGGCCAACTTCTGCCATTCTTCTTCAACTGCCGCCGAGAGGTTGTCCGACGAACATTTGTGCAGTGGTCGGGGCGAAAGGTTCTTAATTTCAGCCCATATATTTTCAATGGTGTTCATATCCGTACCTTGCATGGGCCATTCCAACCTAATTACACACCTCTCCTCTAGCAGGCGCTTTATTGATACTGTGGAGGGAACGGGACTCCGGTTGGGCTGAAATTAAAACGAGCCATCTTTCAGGGGGCCGTTCAGAGCGTGTGGTAGCAGCACGGCGTCCAGGAAATCTCTGTATGCTGCAGCGTTGAAGCGACCATCCAGGCGTACCGACGGGCCCAAGCCGTCTTTGGAAATGAACCCTCATACATTGACGCTGCAGTGGCCACTGCTTGCCACGCGATGCAAATTGGGTGCGTCGTACCTGGGGAAAAGAACCGGGGAAAATACAAAAATAAATAACTTCAGAGCAACTTTTCTAGCTATTGATAACTGCGACGATAACAGGCCTTGCTCTGAATTGTTGGTAGAATTCACTGATTTTAGTAGCCATTTTTACAGGTGGCTTGCGTCAAACGTAACAAGGCACATGTGGAACGTTTGAGGAAGCACTATTGCGCGTAAAGGAGGGTGCAGGCCCTTTAAGAAATAGCTTTTTATCAAAACGTATACCTATAGCCCCCACAAACATCAGGCATTATGTGATACGTAACACATGTGATACTAGAATGCAAAGACAGCTACAGAGTTCAATGATCCTTCAGAGAACCTTTTTAACTCACGCACAGTAAACACTTCAACTTACCTCGTGTTTTGCGTCCTCCACGTTCATTGCTGCTGATTCCACATTGAAGTGAAAGTGCTCTCGTCCGAAAAAATGACGTTCTTACCCTCTTGCACCGGCCAAAATAGATGCTCCCCTGCAACGAGCAGTCTTTTGACCATAATTTGTTCCGAGACAAAATTCTTCGTCACTGCAACACGGCTACGAAGGTCCCCTGTGTGAAGGCGCTTACGTGCTGTTTGGGTGCTGCCTATGAAACCTGGGTCGTTCTTTATTTCTTTTGAGGTCATTTTTGGGTCTTGTCTCGCTGTGTACACTATTAGATTGTCTTCGGAGTCGGTCGTCACCTTCGGACGGTGACCTCATGGCAGATTCGTCAAGCTCAGTGCTGTTCGCTTTCACAATCCTGTTCACTGACGATCGGGGGCGTCCGGTCAATAAGTGATTTATTGCTGCGGTAGACCTGCCATAGACAAAGTAACAATCTGCATCTTTCCACAAATGCGTATTCCTGGCATAGCTGCGCTCGAACTGAGACAGAAGCATGCTTGTGTTCGCCTCACATATGTACTATTCCTTGGCTTCTGCTGACGTCACAAGGAACGCACATGAATGTTATTGAAAATGTTGAGGCTGAAATAAAAAAAACCATTTAGTGGCGGCCACTGCCATAATGTATTGTGGGAGGTTCTTGAAGAAGAATGCCAAAAGCTGACCTTTTATTATGTGGCCGATAGCCTCTACAAAAGCCTACCGCGTGAAATGGCTGCAGTACGTGCTCGCTTCTCATGGCGAAGCAATGACATACTCATAGTTGCTTTTAATGTTGCATGCATACAATCCTGTCAGTGCTTATTTTCTTTCTTTGTCGTAGCAAAATCATAGAATAAACTTTCCAAGTTTTTGTTGGAATATTTACCACATAAACCCACACGCCTTCAGCGCAATATTTTAGCTGAATACTGTATTTTACTTGCACAGTATGCGAGCCGCATAGCTAAAGCGCGCAGAACGAGCGAGTCATCTGCTCGTGCTACAGGGTAAGTGCAAAGTGCGCACCGGGAAGCGTGTTCGGTCAGCATGCGGAAAAGGCCCGCCTTAGGGCGCCACGCTGGCAGTGTGCACATGGTGAACTACCCGCCGAATCGTCGGTGACTGAAAGTAGGAATTCTGCTCCACAGATGTTCTTCTCCTCACTTTATGCCACTATTCAACAGCTTAGTTGCAGGAGCACCCACGAGCGGCGCAGCGCGGAGCAGCGGCCACGCACTCCGAGTGTCCTGTTTCAATCTCTGAATATCGTACGTGCGTCGCAAGTAGTACGCGTACACACGTGGAAACGCGAACACATGCTTGGACGAGGGCTCCGATCGATCTCTGCTTCGACTGACAGAACTTGTCATCGCCAGAACGTACGCAAGTAATGCATTAACGATAATGTAACTGAAACTGAACGAACATTAAAAGAATGGTTACACGAGTATGGCTCAAAACCCAAGTCGGTCATGACTCGTGGTTGCCGGGGGGCACGATTCACTCGAACAATGCGAGAGTGGAAGTGGTGCAAGACGGCACTGCGTACAACTACCATGGGCATGTCACCAACGACACAATACTTGAATGAAAAAGTGTGGTAGACAGCGTCACGTGGCGGAGCCGCATAAAGGTGGAGGCGCACAAAAAACCAATCATGAGTGGGTTTTGGTCACGTGTTCCCGATTCGGCGCGCTGTTCGGCAAAAAACCAAGCATGAGTCATATTTGGTCACGTGTTCTCGGTTTGGCGCACTGTTCAATTTGCGCAACTGCCACTTTATTCAGTACGTCTGTCGAATTAGCCTAATCACAATAGTCATACTTGAAAATCTCTTTGGTTTTTTGTTAGTGTAATCGTAAAGGGCGGAGCCCCCAATGCAGAACCTCGTTTCTGGTTGCGATGTGGCTGACCCCACCAATAGCGTCGTCAGATAACGGAGATGCACGAGAAGATCGGATTCGCGCAGCTCAAGTTATTGGCGCATGGCCCAATGTCGTTGGAAATGGGTAAGTTTTATCGCAGCGCCCCGCTTCAGCCCCTCACTGAGTGCGATTTAGGACAAGCTGCGCAATAGATGCAAAAGTTAAATAGAAGCGATCATATGAGTGCTACTGGTGCCTAGCTTGCCATGGGCGAATATGAGAAGTAAATGGTTCTTTGAATTCAACATGGTGGTCGTGCGATGCTATTATTGTAAAAATAAAAAAAAACGTTCTTAGTCATAATTCTGCAGAATAAAATGGCGTTAACAGTCCAAGGAAGTGAAGGTTCGGGGCTGAATTAACGCCCCATTTTAGATAAATATGGGATGAAGAGGAGAGATTGCACACCTGTTCCCCCCCCCCTTGCACACGTCTCTTCACAATGCCACGTAAAATGAAAAGTAAGGCAGCGCGAAGGCCCTTGCAGGACATACTAAACTTTGAAGAAATCAGACAATATTGTTCAGCTGTGACAATTATAGAAGTGTGGCTATCATACACACTTAGATGGTTTCTTCCGTTTAAAGCGTAGTACGATTTTGAATAAAAACATCCCTCAAAGAATGCCGGACACCTTGTTTCCGAAGCAATTTTGGAATAAAATCAGTGGCAGAATTAGGACGTTATAACAAATCAAACAGATGCAAATTCCTCAAGCGAAGTGTTTGTATCGAATGAGAATGCGTGGGGCCATTCTGCCCAAACACATATCAGTAAGTCCACTTCGGAAAACACGGTGACATCACTAAAAGCTTGTCAATATACGATGTGGATAAGTAGAGTTGAAAGTGGCTTCCTATGTTAACAAGCACTGCGGCGAAGCTCTCGACAGTAGTACAGAGTATCTTCATTGAAAGGAAATCTTGTAAACGACGCATTTGCTTCGATGAAGCAACTATGGTTGGTTTTGTCATACAATTTTATGCTCGTGTTAGTCATTAAGTAAGGGCCATTCTTGTTAAACTAAAATTTCTCTCGTGTTTTTGTCAGGTTTCGCGTAATAGGAATGTGCAAATAACAAAATAAACACACTGCAAGCGCATATATTGCATGATCAAATAAGACGAATTTAAGCATCCACATATTCTCTCTGTCGTTGTATGCATCTCTGCGCGTTCATTTTATCCATCCAAAGCGAGACAACTAGAACCCGGGCCCGTCTAATTTCCCTGCAATGTGAATGCATTACGGTAAAGCCTGCTCTTCATGTCATTATGAAAGCTTTTATGCTGTGCCCAAATCCAATTACTGACTGCATGACCATAGGTGTGTGCTCATAGGTTACCTAGTCACCTAATTGGGGGAGAGGAGAATGAAAATTGTGTCCCGTACTTTAACTTAGTAACGGGGCGCTGCCATGAACCTCCCTTCTCGACCACCCTGATGATGAAGCCAGTGCCAGCCTATGTGAGTGAGAGCGTTCACTTTGTTGAGTCGTGTCGAGCCGCCCAGCGCTTTATAAAAGTACGGTCATCCCGGACGTATCTTGCAAAACGTAAATTCCATCTGTTTTCTTATGTACAGTAAGCTCGTAAAAGTACAAATACTTTTTGCAGTGTGGGGAGAGCGGAATACGTAAATTTCACACAAAATCTCTATGACACGTGGATTGCCCGGTTGAACCTGCTGGAGTAGCCTCGCCGCGGTGGTCTAGTGGCTAAGGTACTCGGCTGCTGACCCGCAAGTCGCGGGTTCGATTCCCGGCTGCGGCGGCTGCATTTTCGATGGAGGCGGAAATGTTGTAGGCCCGTGTACTCAGATTTGGGTGCACGTTAAAGAACCCCAGGTGGTCAAAATTTCCGGAGTCCTCCACTACGGCGTCTCTCATAATCAAATGGTGGTTTTGAGACGTTAAACCCCACAAATCAATCAAACCTGCTGGAGTATGGTCCGTGTCCCCATGTGCAAACAAATGTATTTCAGTGCATGACGTTGCGCAAATTCAGTAATGAAAATTGCTGAACTAGGCGTTGCAGCTCGTGCGAATTTCGAGCAAGCCAACCCGACCGGAACCTTGTACATTGCTTAAAGTTTTTAACAAAGTTGAAGTGACCAATGCGAATAACGTAACGACCATCGAGGGACAAAAATGGCAGATGTCAAGTAGCTTGAGAATGGGACTTTATGCGAAGGATGCTCAGGGAAGGTGGCAGTGTTGTAACATTCTGTTAAATGACATGTCAAGAAACCCCGCTAAATATACCTATATATGTCGCACGCACAGACCTTGAAGAGTTGCGAATGTGTATATAAGCCGTTGTTTTCACTTGCGCAACGAGCCCCGCCGCGGTGGTCTAGTGGCTAAGGTACTCGGCTGCTGACCCGCAGGTCGCGGGTTCAAATACCGGCTGCGGCGGCTGCACTTCCGATGGAGGCGGAAATGTTGTAGGCCCGTGTGCCCAGATTTGGGTGCACGTTAAAGAACCCCAGGTGGTCAAAATTTCCGGAGCCCTCCACTACGGCATCTCTCATAATCATATGGTGGTTTTGGGACGTTAAACCCCACATGTCAATCAAGTCACTTGCGCAACGATGTCAACAGGAACATGATTATTAGAAACACTAGAAACTATAAGCATATTTGAAGCGCTGCTGCTCGCGAGTATGGTCGTCCTGCACACTGCTGCATAAAGCAACTTTAGCGCATGGCGCCTAACTTCAAATTGCGTTAACCCGACGGGACAGCTCTATCAAAAGCTTGCTATCGTGAGAACTCGAACTCGCGAGCACGTGGCGAATAACCCATATTGGCTGCTACGCTGCGGTCTTTGTTAGAAAAAAAAGGAAAGGGTGGTGCACTTCTGGCATTTGCTAACAATCCCGTCCGTCATCATTGCTGCAAAACGGGGACTTATGTTACAATAGTGGCTGCCAGCGATGATACTAACTCACTTAACACGCGCTGTTGCACTCAAATACACATGTAGCTGCTAAGATATCAGCTGTGGCGTAGGCTGATGTGATGTCATGCCTGCATTATATGTAGATGGTGTTGGATGCGCATTTTTATACACATGTTTCACGTACTTAGTTTTTGCGCAATTTTCTTTGTCCTATCATCACTAGTGGAAGATTGCACGCAATCATCCGCCGCTTCTCCGCCACGCTAGCGAAGCGGGAGTGCCAACAAACAAGGGAAAGCACCCCTTCTTTCTCGTCAGGCTTCGACCGCGCCATCCACGTATTACGTTATCACTGTTTTGAAGCTGCCACGTGCTCACGTGTTTGAGCAGGTATTACTCATGCTAGTACATATGTAAGCTTTATAAAATTAGATAGCCAGCTCTGCAACCACAACTGGTGTTCATGAACATAACGGTCTTTCTCAAAAGCAGTTCATAGATTGATTGATTTGTGGGGTTTAACGTCCCAAAACCACCGTATGATTATGAGAGACGCCGTAGTGGAGGGCTCCGGAAATTTCGACCACCTGGCGTTCTAAACGTGCACCCAAATCTGAGCACACAGACATACAACATTTCTGCCTCCACCGGAAATGCAGC